CCACACTGAAGTTGAAAGGAAACACACCCAGATGGGAGTGAAGTCAGGACTTTCAGCTGTACATCAAGGGGTTTGACAAAAGTGGGACACTGACCATTCAGGAAGTCCTTTCAACTTCAGTGTGGTGGTGTACAGAGGCCAAATGCCAAAACAGTTATTCTTCTTCCAATATTTCTGGTCCTGACTGTACAAAAGTTCTTCATCTCTCCAGCATGGATGTTCTTATATCTACGGCTGGGTGACCAGCAGAACCATGCTGAATGGTGTTGTTAGCCAAGTGTGCTAGAAATGTAAGCACAGAATTAAGGCACAAAGTGATCAGTCTCTGGCGAGGGATAAAAAAAGTTGTCATATGTTCACAAAGACTAACTGAGCAATACCCTGTCACTCAATCTGAGAAATTATGACATACTGATTTCCCTGTGCGAATTCTCGGCAGGGAAGCAGGACTGGGGCCCCGTCTGATGCCACCTCGACACTCCAAGACATGAAGGTCCCCCCTTCCTCCCCATGAGCAGTTTGGTGCCTCTTCAGCTGTCGCTCGTTATAAAACCTCTTTGCCTGCTGCAAGCACGGATGCGGTTTTGCTCCCCCGTGGAGCTTCTGATGTCTCATCAGGTTCCTCCTCTGGCTGAAGTTCTTCCCGCACTCCACGCACGGGTAGGGCTTCTCCGCCGTGTGCATCCTCTGGTGCCGCAGGAGGTGCTGCTTGTCGTAAAAGCTCTTGCTGCACTCAGAACAGCGGTACGGCTTTTCCCCCGCGTGGATTCGCAAGTGAGAGGTGAGGTTGGAGCTCCGGTGGAAGCTCTTCCCACACTCCGAGCACCGGTACGGCTTCTCCCCCGTGTGGATCCCTTCGTGGGACGTCAGCTGCGAGCGCCGGATGAAAGTCTTGCCGCAGGTTAAGCACTTATGCGGCTTGTCCTTGGAATGAATTAACTGGTGCAGGTTGAACCCTGATTTGTCGCAGAAGCCCTTACTGCAGATGGGGCAGTGGTAAGGCTTCTCCCCTGTGTGCTTCCTTAGATGGCAAGTGAGGTTTGTGCTCCGATTGAAGCTCTTCCCACACTCTGAGCACTGATATGGCTTCTCCCCCGTGTGGATCCTTCGGTGGGAGGTGAGATAGGCGAGCTGCCGGAAGCTCTTCCCACACTCCCAGCACTGGTGTGGCCTCTCTCCCGTGTGGATGCTTTGATGGGAAGCCAGGTGGGAGCTCTGCCGGAAGCTCTTCCCACATTCCCGGCACCGGTGCTGCTTCTGCTCTGCCCGGCTCTGCCGATGGGCACTCCGCTCTGCTGGGTGGCCAAAGCTCCTCCCATCTTCCAGGTTTCCTTGCCGAGCTGGCGTTTTGCGAGGGGCGTCCCCCGGCTGCAGCTGCTCCTTCAGCTTCTCTGTTGGGCCTCCCCTCTGCTCTTTGGCTCCTTCCTGATTTCTCCAGGTCTCCTTCATCCCAAGCAGGCTGGGGCTGGCCAGTGACCTCCTGCCTCTGCTGCTGCTGCTGCTGCTTTCCCCCCCGTCTCCTGCCGGGCGAGAGAGAGAAACCCAGTCAGAAGGCAAAGGTGCCAGACCAGCCTTGCCTCATCGTGTTCCCACAGCCCTCCCCCAATCTGCAGCTCCCCGTATCCATAAATGAGAGGAGCTCAATTTGGAAGTTGGAAATGGGGAGATTATGCTATCAGCCCTTTTCTAGCCTCTGGCATGGTTTTGAATCAAAACAGTTAAAAATGTGTTTTTTCCCTGGAGAACAGAGGTGGGCAATCCACAGCCTGAATGATCCCCCCGCCAAGCAAAGTATGATCTTGCCATAATTCAGCCATAAAAGGCAATTTTCCAGCACTGCAAACATTTTCACATTTGGGGATGAGAATTTAGTGGCTGATCTTACAAAGTTATTTCTCTCCCACGTGTGTCAGCAGGGGCACAAGGGATGACATGTGGCTAGATGTCTCACTCAAATCACACCAATTATATAATTTACAAACAACACACTTCATGTCACTGCTACAATGACACCATTCCTTCTTCTACCAGGCACTTACGAACCCAAAATGGTCCCCCTTGCCTCTTCCAATACAAGTAGTCCTCAGCTTATGACCACAATAAGAACCCGAAAATTCATTGTTAAGTGGCATGATCATTAAGTGAGGAGTTCCAATTTTATGACATTTTTTCGCAGCAGTTGTTAAGCAAATCATAGCAGTTGTTAAATGAATCACATGGTCATTAAGAGAATCACGTCATTAAGTGAATCACTCAGTTCCCCCTTAATTTTGGTTGTTGGAAGCCAGTTGGGAAGGTTAAAAATGATCACATGACCTCAGGACACTGCAACTGTCGTAAACGCATGCCAGTTACCAAGCACCCAAATTTTGATTATGTCACTGCAGGGACACTGCAACACTGGGGACTGATCATGTGACTTTTTTCAGCACTGTTGTAACTTTGAATGGTCACTAAATGAATGTTTGTAAGTCAAGGACTACTTGTAGATCGTCTTGTTACTGGATGGCATCCGGCATCTGTCCATGTTTATGGACAAAACTGGCCCCCTCCCATAGCAAGTCCTCCACCATGCAATTTCTCTCCTCTTGTCCCCCCACCCCCCAGTGGCCTCAAAGACCTGTAACCCTGGTCAAAGGGAGAGTGGCCCTCTCTGTGGAGTCTCAAATAAGGAATAACTTTCTTGGTCTTGTGCAACCAAAACATGGTTGCACAAGACCAATCAACAAATGATGGCATAACAGCCTGTCTCTCTTCAGTCCGCTTCATTCTCTCCAAAACGGAGCAGCTGTAACAAGGCTAAGGGGGCTTCTGACATCCCAACGGCAAAACTCTGATTGCTTGGAAGTTTTGGATAATTCCCTTTATGTGCTATCTACTGGAGAGGAAGCAGCAATGGGACATTTGCTAGGAGCATACAAGATTGTGGAGTCCTTGGTGCTCTCTGAGCTTGGTGGTTGGCTTGCAAACATTTCGTTACCCAACTAGGTAACATCATCAGTGCGAGTGAGTGTGGGGTTTGCACCCTGTCTATGTACAGTAGTTTGCCCTGCCAGTGTTGTTGGGGGCGGTGGTTTTCGCCCTGGTAGTTCCTTGATCAGGATATTGTTTTCTGCCCGATTGTTTGTCTGCTATTAATCCCTGCTTATCTTTGTGTTGGCTGCCGGAGAGGATGTGCTCTGGTATTTTTGTTTCCTTTTTATTGTTTTGAATTTCCTTCTGAATAGTATGTAGATGCTGTTTATCTCTATGTGCCTGTTGATGGCTGCCTTGTCTGAACACCATGCTTCCAAGAACTCCCTTACATTTTTGGATTTAGCTTGGTCTAAGATGCTGACAGTTTCCCAGTTAAAACTATGGTTCAATCAGTCCACGTGCGGTGAGATTAAGGAGTTTTCATCGTGTCTTCTGACTGCTGGTTGGTGCTCATGGATGCGCTCTGCCAGCCTTCTGCCTGTCTGTCCTGCATAGTGGCCGTTACGGTCCTTGCACTGTATGTTGTGCTGTAGTGGGTTGAGTGGTCAGGCACTTTTTGATAAAGTTGCGTGGGTCTCCATTTTGTTGGAAGATGTTGTATAGGCGGCTTGTTTCCTTTTTCTGCTGTTCTGGGTTTCTCTGGATAACACAAAGTAACAACCCCACTTCCCACAAGAGGAGCTGTGTAAGAACATTATTCAGACAAGTACAAACGCACTGCAGCAACCCAGAACACTGGAAAAAGGAAACAGACTGCTACACAACATCTTCCAACAAAATGGATACCCACGCAACTTTATCAAAAAGTGCCTGACCACCACCAACACAAGCTATGAAAAGTTTAACACTACCATACATCAAAAACATCTCAGAAACAACCAACAGACTATTACAACCACATGGCATCACCACAGCACACCAAGGACTGCATAATTTAACCCTGAGCTACACATATTCTCTTCTATTGGAACTTACAAGATTGTTGTGGAAAGTTCCTACAAACGTTGAGGAAAAAATGTGTTCTCCAATATGGAAGGGCAGAGCTAGGACGTGACTGGATCCTTGGTACAAGCAGACATTTTTCAGAGGCCACTATTTCTTGTAGAAGGAGGCATGGTGTCTCATCTTGACCCTCAATCCTCAGCATAAGGAGACACCAAGGAGGCCTCAAAATGTGAGCCAAGATCACTGCCTTGTAGAAGATGGCAGGGCCTTTTGGGACCCCAGATCCACAGGAGAACAGGGCACAACATGGAGGAAGTATCTTGGCAGAAGAGGCATTCCATATCCTCTAGCCAGAGCATTCATTTCCAGCTGGAACATCTGCAGCCTCCCTTGGGGCCCAAACACAACAGGGTCGAAAGACTTGGAATTCACGCTGTCTCCAAAAATTGGCACCCCAAACAAAGAGGCGGCCTTACCCAAGGAAGCCACGTTCCTAGAATTCTCCAGCATGACTTCTCGGTGGAGGGCTTTCTGGCCAGCAGCTAAGAGCGCCCACTCCTCATTGGTGAAATACACGGCCACCTCCTCGAAGGACACGGGGCTCTGGAAGAGGGAGAAGCACTGATTGGCGTCTCTCGGGAATCAGTTTTGTGCCCGTAACATCCGCACAGGAGACGTTGTCCAGGGATTCGGGGGCGAGACCATCCGGGGTGGATGTCCTGCAGTTCTAGTTCTCCTTCTGCCTCGATTCCAGGAAAGTGGCTGATGCTTAGAACCAGCAGCACCTGGAGGGCGGACGTCCCTCTTTTGCGTACACCAGCACTCACCTGTGTCGCTTTTGGAGAAAGCTGGAGCACCACAATTGGATTACGTTTGCGGTGTCTCCAGAAATGCCACCTGTCCCAAAACAATAGCGGAAGAAGGCCAGTGGCCACCTCCCTGCCCCATAACTGTTTGTGGTGAAAGCCAGGCCGGGTGACATCACGATGGGGGGGAGTCACTACAGAGGTTGTGGGCCAGCTCCGACACCATCACCCTAAAAGGCCTGGCCTGGCCTGGCCTTTTCTTTCATCACGGACCATCAGGTACAACATATCTGATGGATACCCCTTTCTGCTTTTATTTTAAGAGATTTTATTTACATAATTATTTAATTTATTCCGTTTATATTGGGGGGGCCCTAAAAAAGCAGGGCAGGAAAAACACAACGCTCTAAATCTGAGGCTGCCCCAAAGCAGCAAGTAGACTGAGAGGGAGATTTTGTAACAGCGGAGAAGTCCAGAAGCCTCCCAGCGAGGAGGAGGCGAGGCTCTGGGGCCCCCAAAGCATGCCAGCAGCCGCTGCGTGCCCCCCTCCCGACCTTTGCTCCTACCTGAGCTGAAGGGGCAGCTGCTGTTCCTGTCCCTCCGCGAGCAGGAAACGTTCCCGCCGATTCCAGCCCCGCGGTTGCGAAAGGGCAGCCTTTGGGGAAGGTCATTATTAAGCCGAGCGGGGGAGATGCGCAGGACTGAGGGAGCCCTGGAGAAACACCCCTGGGGGGAAGGGGAGGGGGGCCCCCCACGGCTCCGCAGCTCTGGCTCAGGAACCCCCCCTTACCCCGCGGCGCGTCCGGGGCAGGACTTTCCCGTTCGGTCCCCGCGGAGGGCGGCTGCCCTCCCTCCTTCCAGGGGTAGGAATGGGCGGCAGCCTGCATGAGCGCCTCCGGCCCCTGAAAAAGCAGCC